CGTAGGGCTCCATTCCATGACCCTGGGATCATGACCTCAGCTGAAATCAAGAGTTGGACGCTCAACCGACTGAGCCACACAGGTGCCCCGAGAAACTTTTTTTTTTAGGCAGGGAAGAATTTACTTTCAAATTAACAGTTTTCATACTTTGTTTACTTTTTCAGTGGAAAAACTAGTTTTTCTAACTTATTTCTGTTTTGTTTTTATGGGCAGAGGTTTTGAAGTTAGGAACCAAGGTTCAAATCCTGATTGTTCCACTTGGTAGATCTTGAGCAAATTACTTCCTTCCTGAAAGGTTACTTCGCTAAGGCTTGGAGAGGCTAAGACCATGTACACAGTAAATGGCAGAACTGGAATTAAAGCACAGCTTTTCTGTCTCCAAAACCCAGTGCTCTTACTCCGTGCTGTGTCCACGGATAAAGCAGAAAAGCAAGGAGGCAGAGCACTTAATGGGGTATTAGTTTCCTCAGCCTGCCGTAACAAAATGCCACAGGCCGGATGGCTCAAACAACCCATTCATTTTCTCACAACTCTGGAGCCCGAAGTCCAAGATCAAGGTGCCGGCAGGTTGGTTTTTGGTGAGGCCTCTCCTCCCAGCTTGCAGGCCACCACAGCCTTCTCACCCTGTCCTCACGAGGCCTGTCGTCTGTGCTTACGTGCGGAGTGAGCGTGCGCTGCTGTCCCCTTCTCTTATCGGGACATCGGTGCTATCAGAGTGGGGTCCTACCCTTGTGACCTCATGTAGCCTTAATTGCTTCCCTAAAGGTCCTGTCTCCAAGTACAGTTACGTTGGGTGTTTGGGTTTCAGCCTGTGGATCTGGCGGAGACAATTCGGTCTGTGACACAGGGCCACCCCAGTTCTCGCCCTGCGCGATCCAGGAGACGCCTTGCACACAGTGTGCAGTCTGCACAACCATGCACGGTGGCCCTGCCCATCTTTTTAATAGACTTTCTTGGAAGGCCATAAAAGTTCACAAGCTTTATGATAGAAACAGGACTTACGCTTCTGCTTATATTCTAAGATCAGTTTTACAAAATCGTAACTAACACTCACTTTTGTTATTTTATTAGAGTATTAGTTTGGATGAGTTCAAGTCCTTTTGTCATTTTGCCACCCACCTAGAAGATTTTGCTATTGCCATGCAAATGTTTAGTTTAGCTCACCGTCCTGTCAGACTGGGTAAGTTACGTGACTTCGTTTAATTTTTATCATCTACAAATAACATCACTCTGTTCTTCAACTAGAACATACCAGTCAAGGAGCCAATTACCAGTGAAACAGTTGATTAGCCTTTTAATTAATTCAGTGTGGTTACTCTAGACTTACAAGGACTCTCACATTTAACAATTACGTTATTTGCTTTTACTTTCTTATTTCCTAAAAAGGAAAAGGGAATATTTAAATATGTTCTTTAGAACATTGATTAAATTAAAATAGGCTGCCTCTCTTTCAGTTACTTTCAAGACATTTCTCAGCCAAATGTATTATTTCAACATATCCTTAATGAGTATTTTTTGTTTTGTTTTACTTCCCTGATAATGAACATTGAGACTTAATTTTGCTTCTCAAATAATAAAATTTAGGTTAATTCCACTTAGACTATTTCACACAGTTGATGAGTTGTTTTATGTTTTCTTTTTTCAGCGGAGTTTAAGAGGGCCGTGAAAGTAGCAACAGGGCAGGAACTCTCAAACAATATTTTGGACACCGTGTTCAAGATCTTTGATGTGGATGGTGATGAATGTCTTAGTCATGGAGAGTTTCTTGGGGTGTTAAAAAACAGGATGCATCGAGGCTTATGGGTAAAGATTTTGAGTTTTTAATAACTACATGTTTACATGTAATTAAATGAATGGCATTACACCTAGAATTTGGGCGATGCGTGTGTGGTCGTAAATGGAGGTTTTATCATGTGTAAAGAGATTATAAGCCATGATCACAAACTGAGATGTCTCCTTCAGATGGGATCCAGTATTTTCCTTTGCTTTTTTTTTTTTTTTAATCTGAATCTAATCAGAAACTGCTATTCAGAAATCATTTTACTTTGGGCTCTGTAGTTAGACACACCTAAATTCAAGTCCCAGCTCTGTCACCAGCTGCCTAATCTTGCAGAGCCACTTAACTTTTCAGAGCCTCCCATTCCTCATCTGTACAATGAGGAAACTAATAGAATCTACCAGAAAACAATGTTGTAAGAATTAAGCGTAAAATACTTGGGATAGTGCCTGAGACAGTTGAAGTAAATGTTAGCCATTGTTATTGTATTCAGACTCTTCACAAATTAGTCTATAATTGTGGGACAAATAAAACTCAAAATTTTGTTTAAATTGGAATCTGCTTAGAAGCACCATCATAAGGGTAGTATGCTAAGCGAAATTAGAGAAAGACAAATATCATATGACTTCACTCATATGAGGACTTTAAGAGATAAAACAGATGAACATAAGGGAAGGGGAAGAAAAATAATATAAAAACAGGGAGGGGGACAAAACAAAAGAGGCTCATAAATGTGGAGAACAAACTGAGGGTTGCTGGAGGGGTTGGGGGGCGTGGTGAGCGAAGTGGGGGAGGGGCACTAAGGAATCTACTCCTGAAATCATTGTTGCACTATATTCTAACTAATTTGGATGTAAATCAAAAAGTAAATAAATTATTAATTAAAAAAAAGAAGCACCCTCATAAAAGCAGTCTGCAGGTTGAAAACAAGGGTGGAAAGAAAACTGTATGGTAAGAGGCAGTTCAGCCAGAAGAAAGGAGAGAATGAGGGAGAGAATGTGGTGGATTCATGAACAGCCCCCTTCATTTACTCCTCGGAAAAGCACATCATTTTCCTGCTACCCACATTATTAATGGAAAATGAGTAAATATGATTTCTGTTAGCAAATGTGTCTCACAAGCTTTGTGGGCATCCAGCATCTCATCGTGAATAATCCTGTCCCTGAAAATGAAACCAGCCTTTGCAGTAACGATTTAATATACCCACGAGCCTCTGCCATTTCTCGAAGACATTAAATAGAGCTGTAAATCGATCAGGAAAAGAATAGATATAAAATCTAAAAGAGGGACACCTGGGTGGCTCAGTCTGTTAAGCGTTTGACTCTTGATTTCGGCTCAGGTCATGACCTCACCAGTTTGTGAATTGGAGCCCCGAGTCAGGCTGCACCCTGATAGCTGATAGCGCAGAGCCTGCTCGGGATTCTCTCTCTCCCTCCCTCTCTGGCCCTCCCCCACTTGTGCACGCATGCTCTCTCCCTCTCTCTCTCTCAAATAAATAAACTTTTTAAATAAATCTAAAACTTTAGCAGGGCACCGGTGTGGCTTAGTTGGTTTAGTTTCCAACTCTTGATTTCGGCCCAAGTTGTGATCTCACCGTCGTGAGATAGAGCCCCTTGTCGGGCTCCGCGCTGGGCATGAAGCCGGCTTAAGACTCTCTCTCCCTCTCTCTCTCTTTCTCTCTCTCTCTGCCCCTCTCCTGCTCACACATGCTAGCTTGCTCACTCGTTCGCTCTCTCTAAAAAAAAGTTTCAGCTGGCAGATTTGCTTCCATTTGGGAGATACCCAGCAACGCTGTCCTCCTGTGCTCACCAAGGATACAAATGTTTGTTAACCTTTACTTTCTTCTTTAACAGAGGAATAATACTCATAGAACTTTTTAATTCACAGAGCACTTAGGTGAATTATAGTCTTTTTTCTTAAAGCCTCTTATAAAATATGTTGTTTCTTTTTAACTTGGGTAGGTTTAAATCAGAGTTTTAGGCTTATAATTTATATTCCACATAGCTAAATAAAGTTCACCATAAAAAGGAAAACATTATAAAATATTATAAAGCATCATGAAATAATTACATTTTTTAAAACCAGTATATGAGGGGCGCCTGGGTGGCGCAGTCGGTTAAGCATCCGACTTCAGCTCAGGTCACAATCTCGCGGGTCCGTGAGTTCGAGCCCCGCGTCGGGCTCTGGGCTGATGGCTCAGAGCCTGGAGCCTGTTTCCGATTCTGTGTCTCCCTCTCTCTCTGCCCCTCCCCCGTTCATGCTCTGTCTCTCTCTGTCCCAAAAATAAATAAACGTTGAAAAAAAAATTTTTTTTTTAAATAATAAAACCAATATATGAAAGAAATTGCCCACAATCTTCATTATCTTCTAACGGAAGAGGCTCCATTCACGTGCACTTAGCCTCCACTCTTGAGTCACCCAAGGCTGTTCTTACACCTCGTTCACGTTTTATCCTTTACCCCGTCCTATGTACAGTTTTGTTGGAATCCTCTTTCACAACGTAATCCGTCTCAGGGACTCTCTGGAGGCACGTGGGAAATAAGTGGTAACAGAGCTCGCATGAAATCGTGTTTAACCTTGAAGAGAATGATCTCTTTACTTTCACTTTGTGTTAACAGGTACCACAGCAGCAGAGTATACAAGAATACTGGAAATGTGTGAAAAGAGAAAGCATTAAAGGAGTAAAAGAGGTCTGGAAACAAGCCGGAAGAGGTCTCTTTTAGAAAAAGATCATACGGGAATTACATTGCTCCGAATGTCAGAATTTGGAATTGTTTTTTAAGTACTAGATGTTTGTCTTCTGGAGTCTTCACTGATTTGCTTTGTAATATAAAGACGCCTTGTATTTATTTCCTGATTCAGTAATTTCTTGATAAAATTTCATTAAAGAACTTAGTAAATACAGGTACTGGATTCTGTCAGAGGGCCTAGAATTGAAGTCATGCTTTATACTTTGATAAGATTGAAAACCTCATTGTTCACTGATTTCTTAGACACGGTAGTAAAACATCTCTTTGGAAGGGTGTCACTTAGTAATTACAGAAAAAAATAATTGACACACAAGGCTAAGATCAAGGCCAGGAGTCCTGGTGTTCCCAGTAGCACAAATTCAGTTAAGAACATTTCAGATTTTCTTGTCTGCGTCTCATATCTCATAAGCTTCTTGTACATTTTATTTCAGTTAGCTGTATATTAATTGTCCTAAAAATAATGTGTAAATTTCAATATCATGTGTGGAAACCAAATAAAGTATTTACACAGATACAAAAATTACATTTTTAATGTGTTTTTTAGAACTTTTTTATAAATATAAATACTCTCATCCTTGCCAACCACATTAGTTCGGGTTCTTAAAAACTAGCATAATCGGGGGAGCCCCTGGCTGGCTCGGTCAGTGGAGCAAGCAAGACTCTTGATCCTGGGTCTGTGGGTTCAAGCCCCACACTGGACGTAGATGTCATTTAAAATAAAATTTAAAAAAAAACAAACTATAGTATTTTTGGGAGAATCTTGAACACAAGATCGGGGTCTCATGGCATATATTGGGTTGTGGGTAAATGTTTAAAATGGCACTAAAAATTAATTGGCATTAAATATAAAATGCTGTTGTAAGTAAAATGGCATTTTTAAACACAATAAGTGAAAATTACTTAAAAAAATTTTTTTAATGTGTATTCGTTTTTGAGAGACAGCATGAGCAGGGGAGGGGGAGAGAGAGAGGGAGACACAGAATGTGAAGCAGGCTCCAGGCTCCGAGCTGTCAGCACAGAGCCGAACGCAGGAAATTTGTATTTTAAAAATAAGCTACTTAAATAAGAATATTGCAAATCTTTGAAACATGTTTCGGGGTGCCTGGGTGGCTCAGTCAGTTAAGTGTTCGACTCGATTTCAGCTTGGGTCCTAATCCCACTCTCATGAAATTGAGCCGGGCGTCGGGCTCCAAGCCGAGTGCAGAGCCTGCTGAAGAGTCTCTCTCTCCCTCTCTCTGCCTCACCCCTCCATTTCTCTTTCTGTCTCTCTCTAAAATTAAACAAACAAAAAAAAGTTTTAAAAATAGTAATAATAATAAATAACTAAAACATGTTCCATTCCCTGGTTAAATGGCTGATTCTGAGACCAGAGCAGGGAAAGTACAAGATGAGCCTGGAAGTAAGAGATAATAGTGAGGATGTCCCAAATGTAGCAAAAAGGCAAGAGCGACTTGAAGGGGCTCCCCCTGGCCGAATCCGTACAATTTGAGTATCAAAGTAATTAATGTCAGCAATGGATCGTAACCTACTAAGAATCCGTGAGGCCAACAGGCGGAGAAGCAGGGGGATCCATACGTCTGGCGTCTCTCAAACAAAGAAGTGCCAAAGCCAAAGGCCTTTGAACACCAGAGCCTGGGAGGAAACGAGTCTGAATCTACCAGGAAGAAAATGGGAAAGCAGGAAAAAAGAGAGGTGCGTAACTGCGAGCTGGGGGAGACAAAAGGCCGCGCGGGCGAGGAGGGGAGGGACCCCATTCTCCGGAGGGACGAAGGGAAGAGAAAGAGTGGCCAGGACAGTGCAGGACCTTATCCGGACAGGAGACAGGCCTCGGACTGAGACAGAGGGATCCGATCTCTGCCTGGGAGGCTTTCTTCGGACTGGGGCCCGCTCCCTGTTGGCGCACCTGGGGAGGAGGGGAGCCAGGGGCCTGGGTGCGGGGGTAGGTCAGGGGCTCAGTCCGCAGCTGGAGAAAGCGGTTCCCTGCCTGGAGGGCTGCGCGATAGCACAGAACCCGCCTGCGTCCCCCCCCCCACCTCCACCCCCCCACCCTCCTACCCCACCCCCAC